TATTGTGTCCAATTCTGGGCACCACAATTAAAGAGAGATATTGACAAGCTGGAATGTGTCCAGAGGAGGACGACTAAAATGATCAAGGGTCTGGAGAACAAGCCCTATGAAGAGCGGCTTAAGGAGCTGGGCACATTTAGCCTGAAGGCTGAAAGGAGATATGATAGCCATGATAGGCATGTGAGAAGAAGTCACAGGGAGGAGGGAGCAAGCTTGTTTTCTGCTTCCCTGGAGACTAGGACGTGGAACAATGGCTTCAAACTACAGGACAGGAGATTCCATCTGAACATGAGGAAGAATTTCCTGACTGTGGGAGCCATTCAGCAGTGGAACTCTCTGCCCTGGAGTGTGGTGGAGGCTCCTTCTTTGGAAGCTTTTGAACAGAGGCTGGATGGCCATCAGTCAGGGGTGCTTTGAATGCAATATTCCTGCTTCTTGGCAGGGGGTTGGACTGGATGGCCCATGGGGTCTCTTCCAACTCTATGATTCTATAATGTGAAAAGAATTTGAGACTATTGTCAGTTGGAATTGATGTGATGTACATCCCTCTATGTATTAGTCCCATTGCTCATCAGTCCATTTTCTAGCTCTGCTACAGTGTAACGTAACGGCAGCCCTGGGAATGAGAAGGTCTCAATAAAAGCATTTGAGTTGTGTGGAGGAACACGGTGTGGAGGAAGAAAAAGCACAAGTTGTTATTGTGGTGCAGCCGTTCCATGCAAAGGAATTAACTCTCTCCTTATAAATTCATTCATGCAATTTCTTCAATTAGGGAAGTAATTCTCAGCCTGTGGGTCGCCAGGTGTTTTGGCCTACAACTCCCAAAAATCCCAGCCAGTTTATCAGGTCTTAGGATTTCTGGGAGTTGAAGGCCAAAACATCTGGGGACCCACAGGTTGAGGACCACTGCATTAGGGGATGTACCAATAAGGATCCTACTAGGGATTCCCATTCCAGAAGCACTGGATGGAGAGTAATTTCCACTTGTATTAATTAATATTTCAAGCGAGCTTAGTTTAGCCCTCATAATATGAATGGATATGTGCATACAAATGGACCTCTGTACTCAGATGTATATTTCTTTTTTTTGTGATTCAAAAGATTCAGATAGATTTTGCACAATTTCTTTTTTAAGGATAGTTGATTTTTGCAAACCTTTTTGTGTGTGCAAAAATGATTGTTTTTGTAAAACACCCTCCCCCATTTTGTAAAACTGTAGTGAAGTTTCTACAAAATACAACATTGTTTGAGTAAACCCATATCTTTTTCATGTATGCAAACCCTAATCTTTCAGTGGAATTCTTTTTGTAAATTGCTGAAATGTTCCAAAAAGTAAAAGAACAAGTAAAAGAAAGAATAGTATCTTAACTCCTTGAATTGGCTGCAGAAGTAGCAAACATAAAAAAGAGAAAGAGAGGCAGGGAGAGAAGGAGGGAGGAATTTATAATGAACGACAGGAGCTGCTTTTATGTACTACATATAGCAGCTTCATTTTTATAATTCAAATATAAATAATAAGTCTGGAATAGTCTTTCACAGAAAGACTTGAATAGAATAACTACTAGAAGGTGTAGTAACTATACAAAGTAGAAGAAAATGTCCGAAAGAACAAAAAAAAAAGAAAAAGAAAAAATAAGAATGGATTATACAACGGGCCACTTGTACCCATTGAGGTTTAGTTCCAGGACCTCCTGTGGATATCCAAAATCTGTGACTACTCAAGTCCCATTCTATAAAATGATATAGTAAAATGGGTTCCTTATATAAAATGGAGAAATTAAGGGGTTTTTTTTTATTCTTAGATTTTTTTTTTGAGCGGGGGGGTGGGATATTTTGAAGTTGTTGATTATTGAATCTGTGGACATAGAATTCATGGACACAGAGGACTGACTGCAGTTGAAGTCTCTGATTGTTACAAACCTGTTGCATATTTTTAAGAAAGTTCTAAAGCAAGATTTTTTTGTTCTGACTTGTATGAAATGTGAATTTCTTAATTAAACTTTAGCACGGGAAGATGCATTATGCATAGGGACATTTAACAACAATAAGTGCTTATTTAATTATGAGCGAAGCTGTAAAAATGAGTGTATTGTAAAGTTAATTAGGAGCTAAAGTGAATGCACTTTAATATGACAGGCACAGAATTACTTATTCCAGTTGTAGGCATGTTCCATTTTTCTCATGGAAGAAAGTAGATTTCTCTTTTGAAATGCTGTTCTCACAAAGTGAAGTGTATTCCAATTGGCAGGAATATTTTGAATCTGCAGGACAGTTTAGCTTGCTGATAGGAGATCAGAACTCTAAAGTGTGAAGGGAACAAAAGCAGAACCTGAAAATGTTACTACTTTTATTTTGGACTAAAATTCCCAATGTCCCCCAGCTGGCATGCCCACTAGTAGAGGACAGGGTTGGTCTGTTATATGCTGCAGTCATAGTCATCCTTGACTATGCATTTGGCAGAGGCTTTTACTTGCTGCATCATCATCATCATCATCATCATCATCAATAATAATAATAATAATACTTTTATAACCCACCACCAAAAGGGGCTCAGACAGCTTACAAAAGCACTTGGAAGTTCAACAAAATACACAAAATACAATAAATACATAAGCATATAAAACAACCACATTGAGAGGAGACAGACTATTTGGGGAGGTGTCCATGCCTCAAGGGCAGTGGTTCTCATTCGGTCCTCCAGGCTTAAAGACATGTGAATCATGACAGGTTCTTAAACCAAGTCCATGAGATTCTCATCCTTCCTAGCTTTTGGACAGTAATCTGACTGGAGAATGCCAGGGTGGGACCTACCAACCTCTCTTGAGTCCCCCAAACTATTTTGTTGCTCTGGTGTGGTGGAGGATGCCATCTCATTTCCAGTGAGTTCTACTATCTACTCCCAAATCTTTCAGGAAAATCATCAAATGCTGATGATAGAAAGTATCCTTTATTTTTGTCAATGCCACTTCTGATTCTAACAAATCCAACACATTCCATAAGCAGGGAGAGAAGGCATTGTGTAGATCCAGTTTTAGTACTCTTATATGATTTGGTAAGACCCTCCCTCTCTCCCACTCTTCCATATTACAACCACTGTAGACCAAAGAGTTACCCAGAATTGGGAATAGACCAAAGAGTTACCCATAATTGGGAATAGGGATGCACTTCTCATTGAAAACAAAAAGATGAGGAGATAATACATTTTGTACCCAAGTGGTTCATCTAGCTATACATTATCCTTCTTCCATGGCTGTTGGGGAATATTTTCACAATCTATCAGTAGGACCAGTGGTTCTAGGAATAGAGTGGTCAGCAGGCTAATTGGGGACTGTATGGTGTTTATATTATTTTAATAGTTTATAAGTGTTTTAAGTGATTTTAACTGACTGTACTTTTAACTCTATTTTAATTTTGAAATGTTGTAGAATTGCATTGTTTTTAAATATTGTGAGGCATTTTGAGTTTTGGTCAAGAGAGAAAAGTGAAGTATAAATATAATAGTAATAATAATTCAACATAATTTTGCATTAATGTTTTTTAAAAATTACATGGAGCTAATTGCTTATACCATACTGATAATTTATGATACTGTTTCCTTGGTTACCATGTGATTAAAACACTATAGTCATTGGGTTGTTGTAGGTTTTTTCGGGCTGTATGGCCATGGTCTAGAGGCATTCTCTCCTGACATTTTGCCTGCACTTTGGCAAGCATCCTCAAGGCGGTCATAAATCTGGTGAGCCTGCGATGTTTTGAAAGTCCTTTTGGCTGCGAGAAATTGTGGGATGGTATCTGTGTCTCTGCAGTGTAGAAGGAAAGTCAGGGAGCACAGTAGATGTGCTTTCCTGATCCTTAGTTTTTCCAACCTTCGTGTCTCTTGGAACTATAGTCATTGACCTAAATCAAATTCCTACTTTGAACTAAAGGAAACCCATTGAAACAATGGATTTATCTAAATGCTAATTTACAAGCATTTGATTCAATTTGTATAACAAGAAACACAGCCAAAATTTAAAATGGGATAAGATTAATGATTTGTAAAAAAGAAAAAGAAAAAAAAGCTGATCAAAATTCTGTTTCTTTCCTCCTTTTAAAAAACCCCTCAAAATGCAATCTGTGAATATATAAGAAGTTATATACTGCATAAATAATCAGATGTAAAAATTCTGTCACAGCTAGCTTTTTATTTAACTTTTAAATCAATTAATTGGGCAGATTGCTTTTCTTTACAAAAAATTGTGAGTATACATCTGTTCAACCCAAGACAAAGCAATATGACATTCTCAGACTAAATTTGCCTACAGGTCAAGCAGACTTTCCCAGCTATAGCGTGCAAACTCGGAGGAAACTGTTGCGAGGGGAAAAAAAGAGAGACTTTGAAGGTTACACATGACCTTTGCTGCTTGAATGGCTTGCAGAATAGAGCAGTGTCACTTTTGGTATTGTTATCAGCACCTAAAAGAATGAGTTTGCTGTATTGTTCCTCATATTTAGAAGAACACAACTGCCTATTGGAGGGGTCTGCTGGGCCCAAAGTCAATGGGTTGACAAATCCATGCCAGGTTTTATCCTAAATTGTAAAGGAACCTATTGAACCTATTAACAGTTTAGATACTTCCTTTTAAATTCAGAGTGGATTTCCCATCCCATTGGCATTACAGCCACTCAACGTATGGGGTGAGAGGGAGGTGGAGTAGGAGACATCCTGTTAGGCACTCACAATGTTGTAATATAGACTTACAACCTTGTGACTTTTTGGTATTTATGGTACAATCACGGCACTATTGCCATGAACTCAAATGTCCCTGCATGAAAATGTTTCCTGCATAGAAACTTCTGTTTATGAAACAAAAAAGAAAACTTTTAACAGACTATGTTCTGAACTGCAAACTGTCACATCGGTCCTGAAATCTCTTCATCAAGGTTCCCAACACTTGAAAAACAGGTTTTTCAATCATTAAAATATTTCCATTTTTTCTATTTGTACAAACATTACTCACCAGCCTATCCAAGCTTGTACCCGCAGCTGTTGTTGGTCTTTCCTCAGGGTGATAGGGACGAAAACGAGTATTAAAGTTATCAGGAATGGAGCGGGAGGATCTCAAACCTGGAGATGGTTTGGGCTGTCCACACCCTTGAAAGACCTGGAAGAACCACATTAAACTATGGTGAAGGGTTACTTAAAACAGAATGCAGCAGCATCTTCTTTCTGGATATCAAACATGATAAATTTGATAACATAGTAAAAATAATCTATCAGTGATGTCATCATCAGCACTCAAATAAGCAGACTTTTTCATATTGATTTTCTGTAAAGAGGTTTAGAAGATTAATTTACCAAAGGTCAAACTAGATAAATGAAGTAGAGCTTTTGGGCTGCATCATTTATATCCAACTTGTACCTGCCTCTCCACTTTGTTCCAATGGGAATTCCTTCACAGATGCAGTGACAACATAAAAAAATTAGTTTCTGTATAGCAGAAAGGAGGCAATAACAGTGCACCTCGGGGCAAATCTTTGCCTTTATGATCCTCTGAAAGAAGATTCACAGATGGGCTGAAAAGCCGCCCAAGCAAAACAAAATTGCAAGTGACCAGATTAGCACTGCTGGCTTTGAAAATGCATTTTATAATAATATTAAGTAGTGTTAGTGGCCCCCTCAAACCGGTTATTTAAGTTGATATCCTTAGACGTTTTGGGGAGATAAATCACCTCTTTCTCCTTTTTGGTACCAGGAAAAGGGCAGCCTGGAGAGTTTGGAGGAGTAAAACACTTGTAGCTCAAAGCTGTACTTTGCATACCCCAGTTTTCTAGGCTGGAGAAAATCTTTGCCTTTCATCCAACTGTTCAACAAGTTAACATATACATCAGCATGAAAGTGATATAGATTACCTGAAGTACCACTCAATTCCTGTTTTCAAGTCTGAGGAATTTCTCTGGACTTTGTTGTTTTAATACAGTTTATGGACTATGGAGTGTTTCCCAAAGGCTGGATATTTTTGTCAGAAGTGTCCATTTAGGACTTATACTCAGCCTTCAAATATTTAATGTATTTCTCAAAGAAAAGGTAAATATAAAAACTTATGGAAGAATGCTTCTGGCACAGTACAACAAAACAAAACAGAAAGTCAATTTGTATCTAGGACAAGTCTACCTGATTTTTCATACATCATCATTATACTGACTGGCAACCAAATGTTCTGTAGTGATAAGCATGGCCTTTGAAATGTCATTTTTCTTCTGATGAATGTGATCTGTTTCCTTAATTCAACAGAATTTGGAGGCAACGACTCAGAATTGAGAAAGCAGAGCTGCTATCTTTATGGCCCCATCAATGTTTCCTGAAGAGGTATTTGCATCTTTATTTCCACAAGGTTTCACAATATATTTTCCAAGACACAATAGCATAAGATATGCTAAACATTTTGAAGTTTTATCTGCTATTAGATCAATGATAGCAAGGTTATATCTGGATAATAGGAAAGGTGGAACAACAACACTCTTGAATTAAAGTGTGAACCAAAAAGTCCTAATCCATATAAATGGAAGAAGACATGTTTGGTAGATTTCTAATGCACAGAAGGAGTTGGCATATGACAAAGATAATTGCATCATAATAGCCTCCATGTTGCTGGTGGAATAGATAAGACTAGGAGATGCAAAAGTGAAGAGGGAATCAATCTAAGTGATATCATCTATGGATGTATCAAATTGCAAATTAATCAGTCGTAGGAACAAATGTTTCCAGCCTGGCTATCGCTATGAGATATTTGCCTGCCATGATAAAGTTGAGAAGCTGATCAGAAAAAAGGGCAGCACAAACTTTCATAGCCTAAGTCTGTTTCCTCAGATGCATCTGAGAAAGTAGATTTAAGGTTTGTCTGTACTGGTCTTATATCTAGGTGTTGGCTAGAAATTGTCCTGTCAATGTACAGGAGAACACATGGTAAAACTCACATAGTAACCCAGTTTTACTCCACATTAGGAGAAGATGGGGAATGCTCCAGAGTTTCAGTGAAATTCTGGAGGAGTCCTGCACTCCAGGATTAGTCTAGTAAGGGGAACTGGCTCTAATTTGAACTGGTCAACTGTCCACATAGCCCAGAGCTGCCATCACCTTTTCCATGAGCCCCACAGCACAGGGGATGAATCAGGGCAGTTGTTCTGCCCCCTGAAATAACTCTCTCAGGTGCCCTTTTCTCAGCAAGAACAGAGTTGGAAACTCGTAACAAAAAAGTTTAATAGTAAACAAAATATTGATTGTATTGAAGATCAGTACTCTAACTCCTCTCAGGGGCTAACTAATAAATGATTAATTCAAGGACCAGACGGAAGCGTGGAACTTAACTAGGTTTCTCTTGATTTCTTCCAAAAAGATCCTTTTCCTAGCATTTTTTCTCTGTCCTTTGTCTGGCTTTGACTTCTGTTAACACTCCCTGTTAAATATCTCTCCCCCCCCCTTTAAACTATACACTTGGTTCCTTAATATTTCAAGCTTGTTTCTCCAAGTCTTAAACTTAATTTCTTCAATCTCACAGGCAAGAAGCAAAATTTTGTAAGCAATAAAGAATAAAATACACAAAACAAAGCAAAACAAAGGATGAGTATAAGTGGTAATCAAAGTGTTTAGTGGCAAAAACATGCTTGATACCTTTGCTGTGACGTGTGCACTGTTTTCTTGCATGTTCATGATAGCTTCAGAAATCTTGACGTCAATGGGATCCATTACTGATTCAATGTTGAATGGTCCTTCTAATCTGTCTGCTACCAAAAGCATAGCATCTGTTAAAAGATAAGGACATTAAACAATAAGCAACTATGTGGCAGCATATAGTACAGTATGATCTGCTCTGACAAATCAGTCTGCTTCAGAATTTTGCAGTTGTCCCACAGCAAGGCAGTGGAAATAATTAGTGTCTCCTCTGTAGAGATATATAATATGTAGCTAACAAAACACCAAGTCCATTTGAATGTACCTCTGCATTGTGCCTCCTCTTTAGGAGAGAATAGACTTCTAGCAAATGCTTATTAAGAGGTATGCAAAAGTACAAGGAAGGAATTTGTATGGTTTTGATAATGACTCAGATCCTTTAATTCCTACATATTACATGCATGTATTTCCAGTGATGTGTACTATGTAATTACATGCACCAGATAACCAGGATTTGTTTTGACCAGTTCAATAAAACAAATTTTGTCAATGAACATCAGCAAAATTCTATACTTTATCTTATTTTCCATCTTGCTTCTAAGCTGTTACAAGAACAAATGCTGTTTGCAGTTTCTTTACAGAAACACGAGAAAGTAGATTAAGCAGAAAGAAAGTGATCACCCAAAGGCAATAAATGTCATTGTTTAACAGGAATTTGAACTGGGTTTGTCCAATGCTATAGTAGCCACATGACTTCAGCTGTATATGGCGTTCTTGGGATGGTCATAGTTTAGCAAAAGAGCACATGTTACTCATATAAAAGGTTCTGACTCTGGCAAAGACATCAATCTGAAATTCTGAAGAGCACTTTGGAATTGGCTCCCATACCACTGGATGAAGAATCCACCCTAGGCTTTAGTTTGAACTTTAAGGGAGCTATCCAAGGTGCTGAATTCTTCTGGGGCAATATGTTTTGCAGATGGGTTTCAGTACTTCTCATGGCTCTATAAATAAATAAAACCCACTGCAAATTTACCACTTCCCCTGAAGCAGAAGTTGAGGGCTTAACCTACATAAGCATATGTGTGCAGATATTTGTCACACCCTAATTCTTGAGCTTCTTTGGTGGCTCAAGTACCATATATTGGGGACCAAAGATGTAGACTTCAGCACATTCCTTCTACCTGGGATGGTTGCCCTCTTCCACAAGTGCACAACTTTGGGAGGAATGCACATGGAGCTGTAAGGGAGGAAGGGGACCCCTCCCTAGCCGGCCAGATCAGCCACATCAACACTTGTAATCAATGGGGTGACACATGTTAGTCAGATTGCCCTCACATCCCACTTTAATCCTAATTTGTGATGTGTAATTTACATGCCTTTCTTTTGTGAATGATGGCCACAACTGTGCAGTTGCATTGGTATCAGTATCAATCTGCATAGTTTGAGTTATGTTATAAGGGTGGAGCTGAGGACTGAGGTGAACAATGATAGTTCTGGACATAGTGATAGGTGTGCGCATATATGCACATCAAGGTTACAAGTGAAGTAACCTAGAAACAGATTGAAGATGTTCTCCCTAGAAGTTTTATCCTGCCAGTTTTAGAAAAGAGGAAGAAGAGAGTAAGGAGAAGGAGAGAGAAGCAGAGGAGATTTTAAAAATCACATTAATAATGGATTTCATATAGTATTGCTTCATGTAGCAGAGACGGGAAGAATCCCTTTTATCTTGACACCTGAAACAGATAATTTGCCAGGCCATTCTTACATAGACTTATCCATCATAAAAATGAAAGCTGATTGGAATGAACCCTTGGGGTATATTCTGGAGTTTTGCACAAGATCGGAGAAAACTTTGATGTGATATACGGGGATCTTATAATTAAAGCAGCTGTTCATTCTGACCCCGAGGACCCCATTTCCTTGCAATACAAACCGGGGATAAATATTGGATTCCTGCCACGATGTACAGGTACAAGCCATGTTTTATGCTCTGTGCATTTTACAAAATGCAGCTGGATGCCGTCTGTTGGAAGAGATATTTTACGGTTCTGCTGGGGTTACATGAGCTCGTTTGTCTAATTACATGGCTGGCATACACTGGGTGTTCCATAATGTACAATAATAAAGAGATGGTGATGTATATGCCATCATATTTACAGTGCACCTTTGACCATTTCAGACACTGCCGCATAATCCATCAACCAAAATTATATGCTATTTTGCAGCCTAACCTCCAAGCATGTGCAGATGGTGTTTCTTTCCCAAGAGCATGTTATATGAAAAGGAACTTTCCTTTCCACAAAATATACAATTCCTTTCCACCAGCTCTTGCAGAAATGTTTCTATACATACATAAATAAGATTTTTTAAAATCAAGTGTTGATGTTTGAGCTAAGTGATCACTCATGCAATGTCTAAAATTAGGCAATACATCATTAAAGAAAACAACAACAACAATAGGCTTAGTACCTCAAGGGAAATTAAACAATTCAAAATGGACTAACAAAACCTCTGCAGAAAATAAACATGGATGTGCTCACAATACAAAAAGTTACACCCCTTGCAACATGCCACCTTTTCTGATGAAGCCCCACTGATTTTTTGGAGAGACTCTGAAACACTTAAAACTCCACTAACCAACACCCTCTAGACTATGCAACTGAGAATAGTAATAATATCAAAGTAAGGGAGCTAATTTACAAGAAGGCTGTATTTCCAGATATATGCCACATTTGGAAATAATTACCAGAATTCAGGCAACTGATTAATTGACTAATATGTAATTTGTGGTGGTTTTGCACAATACAGTGAAGTAATATGCCAATTCAAATGAAACATGATGGCAAAACTGCTTGCTTAAAAATAAATAAACAATGTATCTAAACTTCAAGACTTATTTTTTTCCTGAACATGCAAATGAAACTCAAGAAGAAAGTTGAAGAGAATCTCTGCTTTATACCTAATGAAGTGCACAGTATTTTCTTTACTGCTTGCACAAACTAGATTTAACTGCTGGGAACAGTTCCAAGACTTTTTAAAGGGTACAGAATTTATATTTCAAATCTAAACCAGCACATGGCTGCTGCATGATTGACTTCTGGCATGTGAATCCAGCAGGATTTCAGACTTGAGCTTGGTGGCTGAGTGGTCTATACCAATGCAAATGTTTCATTTATTTATTTAATACACTTGTATACCGCTAATATCTCAGCCTGGATTGGCGACTCATCGCGGTTTACAGCAATTAAAAAACAGTCTCCAATTTAAAAACATATACACATACAGTACAGATTATTGGGCCACCAATAATAATCCCATGTATCTCGAATTAAAATCATAATCCAGAATTCGTTGTCCATATTTTCCTGTCCTTAGTCACCAAAATTCGATTGCCACAGATTAGCCGAATGCTTGTTTAAACACCCATGTTTTCAATCTCTTCCTAAACACCATCAGCAAAGAGGCTGATCGTACCTCTATAGGGAGGGTGTTCACTTTATCTTTTATCTATTTTTAGCTTCAGGCTTTATGTAATACTGAGGATGTTACACCCCAAGATAGAGATTTATGTATTTATTATTTACACTCACAGTACACGTTTCTTCGGCTTACTCACTGCTTCATCCTTATAACAGCTCTGTAAGTGACATCTAGCTGGGAAACAACCCCATTGGGTTAACCAATGAGTTTCACGGCTCAGTGACAAAGGGGCTTGAATCCAGAGCTTCCAAATCCCAGTCCAACCATCTTGCCATGCCGATTTCCCAATGCTTTCTGAATAATTCTACGTAATTCCAGAGTAATTATAGAGCAGACTGCTAAACTAAATTATGGAGAAATTAACAGAGATAATTGCTAAACTGAATAATTACAGAGTAATTAACAAAGATAATTGCTACGCATTTTGACATTCTGAGAAGCTGAGGCCTGAACTGAGGGTTCCAAGGAATGGTGACAAGTCAAGGCTTTCTCTCTTCTCTCCAATTACTGTGGCACAAGGTGAATGTATGTGCAGAATCAGGGCTGCTACATGGCTAAAACACTTAGAAATGTGATGAGAACCCCTAGAGGTTAAAACAGGTATTTTATTTATTAACTTTCTCTTCCACTTGCCCTTCATGGAATTCAGGAAGCATATAATTAAGAAACAAACAAACAAATCAGGATTAAAGAAGGCAGAGTTTGCATAAAAATTGGATCAGCAATTTGATATGTGTAGGTGCCAGTTTCATAATCATTACTACAATTCAAAGAGAAACAGAGTAGACAGTTCCCCATAAAGTAGAAAACATATGCTACATAATTCTAGCATTGTGACTTCACTTTAAGTGCCTCATTTGATGAAATATTATGTTTTGTAGTTTGGATAGGTTACTACATAAGCTCTCTGGCTGCACATTTCAAATAGTCCACTCCAATGCTCAAACCTCAGAATTTCATAGGATGTTGCAAGGCCAGTTAAAATGGAATCATAGTGTATGTGAAAGTGGCCCAAGTTTGCTCTGTGCTCAATTTGTTGCCTAGGAACAAATTCCTGGTGGTCAGCTTCAAGATCCTTATGAAATCATGGGAATTGTAGTTTGGTGACACACCAGGTAAAGGTCTTGCAAAACTACTGAGGACAACATTTAAAATAGTTTTGTTGACAATTGAGACCCAGGAAAATGGAGTAGAGAAAGTGATTCTGGGCCAAAGAATCTGGAACTTCATTCTTCCAGTTCTGTATTGAATTGTTTCACTTAATAAAATATATATGCTTATTTGCTTAAAGATGTGTATGCCTTGCTGGGTTCAGGCCACACTGCACAATTATGATTCTACCTGAATTGTCATGGCTACATTCTATGGAATCCTGCAATTTCAGGAGGCCTTAAAGCAGTGGTTCTCATCCTGTGGGTTTCCAGATGTTTTGGCTTTCAGCTCGTAGAAATCCTAGGACCTGGTAAACTGGTTGGGATTTCTATGAGTTGTAGCCCAAAGCACCTGGGGACCCACATGTTGAGAACCACTGCCTTAGAGCTCTCTGGCCAAGCATTCTAAATTCCCCTTCCCTCAATTGCAAATTCTAGGATTCCATAGGATGTGGCCATAACAAGTAATGTGAAACTAATGTGCCATAACTGTGTAG